GCTCTGCACAGGATGCAAATTAAGTTCTTGTTTGGCTAAATCTGATTACCCTGTAGGGTACCAATCTTGCTTAGTGACAGTAGAAGCTAAAAATTGCCAACAGGACAGTCTGCTTAAAATGGGGCCAGGAAGGGTCAGCTCCTAAATAACAAATCTGAGTTTTGAACTAGATTTTAATATTATCCCTAGGAATGTTCAGTTAAACATAGAAGCTGTCTTCTTAGTAGTTGCTACCACTACTTTTAAAACCCACAATGACATTGAGAAATGCATTTAATTTTTTTAAGATACACAGTTTGTTATCAATCATATTTAAAGGTGCTATAGTCAATCCAACCCAACCTTTAGTTAGTTTGCCACTCAATCCCCATTTGACACTTCCTCTTACTCCTCTCATATTCTATCAGAATTAATGCTCCAGTAGAGAAATTCAGTGAATAGCAAACCCCTACATAGATTATCAGAACACAACCACCCCAAGTCAATTCAAGCTAACTAAAACTATTCAAATATTACCAAAATACTGTTGCTTTATTATGCACTTACCGAGTGCATGAGACAGATTAAAAGGCACATGCTGACACTACTAAATATTAAATACTGCTGTTCCTTCTGACAGGATTAGCTAAATACCTAAATGATAAGAACACTCCCCTGTATTCTTCCCATACTCAGAAAATGTGTACAGAAAAGTCACTCTTTGATCTATTTCACTAGCTTCAGCTACTGTAGCAGGCCTTCATATATATAAAAAATTTATTTTTAGTAGTCTTGGGCAGCTCCTTAGTTTTCCTTTGATGTATAAAGGTTTTATGATCAATAATATCTGGAAGCTGCTGGCATGATTACAATTGCTCTGAGTCAAGAAAAAAACAAACCAAAAGCAACACAACACTGGTGAAAAGGATATGGCTTTTGTCTGCTCAGAAAATGTAATCATCTCAGTAAATGTATGTGGGTTTTGGTAATGAGACTCAATATTTCAGATGGATTATTTTTAATATCTTTTCACAGTGGCTTTATTAGATACTCTAAATCAGAGCTCAACACTTACCTAATAGATAAATACCTCAGTCCTTCAATAGGGTTTAGATGAAGGGACTCAGTACTCCACACAGAATCCTAATGAATTTGAAGGGGCAAATGGATAAAACCAGGCCTGCTAGAGATAAGCCTGGGAGCAACATGCCTGTGTTTGAGGGACAGTGTGCTGGGGAGGTCCTTCGGTCTGTTGTCTCAGGAGAGATAGGGGACAGAAATCCATGTGGCAGCAAAGCCACAAGGGATATTGATGTGCTAGAAACCATGGAAGTGCTTGAGAATGGGCCGTCCCCATGTGCTGAAAGACAAGATGACTGGCCTTGTTGAACTTGAGAGACGTGGGAGGAACTCAGGGGAAAAAGGAGAGTTTATAACATTTGGAAGTAGGGGCAGGCAATTAAGGAGGACTACAGGCATGACATGAGATTATGTATGGAAACCTCCATCCCTTATTGGATGGGAGGAAAACATAGTGACAAGGGATGAGGAAAAGGCAGATATACTTAATGCCTTCTTTGCCTCAGTCTTTAATAGCAAGACCAGTTGTTCTCCAGGTACCCAGCCCTCTAATCTGGAAGACAGGAATGGGAAGCAGAATGAAGCCCCCATAATTCAAGTGGGAATGGTCAGTGACCTGTTACACCACTTAGAAACACACTGGTCTATGGGGCCAGAGGGGTTCCACCCCAGGGTACTCAGGGAGCTGGTAGAAGTGCTTACTGAGCCACTTTCCATCATTTATCAGCAGTCCTGGCTAAATGGGGAGGTCCCAGTTGACTGGAGGTTGTCAAATGTGACACTCATCTACAGGGCCAGGAGGATCCAGGAAACTACAGGCCTGTCAGCCTGACCTCAGTGCTGGGGAAAGTGATGGAGCAGATCATCTTGGGTGCCATCATGTGGCATGGGCAGGACAATCAGGGCATCAGACCCAGCCAGCACTGGTTTATGAAAGGCAGGTCCTGCTTGATTGACCTGATTTCCTTCTGTGACAAGATGACCCGCAGAGAATGAGGGAAATGTGGGTGTTGTCTACCTTAACTTCAGTAAAGCCTTTCACTCTGTTTCCCAGAGCATTCTCCTGGAGAAACTGGCTGCTCATGGCTCAGATGGGTGCATTGTTCACCAGGTAATAAACTGGCTGTTTGGCCAGGCCCAGAGAGTGGTGGCAAATGGTGCCACATCCAGTTGTCAGTTGTTCACTAATGGTGTTCCCCAGAGCTCAGTCTTGGGACCAGTCCTGTTTCATAACTTTATCAATGATCTGGATAAGGGGATCGAGGGCACACTCAGTCAGTTTGCTGATGACACCAAGATGACCAGGAGTGTTGATCTGCTGGACCGTAGGAAGGCTCTGCAGAGGGATCTGGACAGGCTGGATTGATGGGCCAAGGCCAGTTGTCTGAGGTTCAACAAGGGGAAGTGCCAAATCCTGCCCTTGGATCCCAACAACTACACAGCACTCCAGGCTGGGGCCAGAGTGGCTGGAAAGCTGCCCAGCAGAAAAGGACCTGGGGATGCTGGTCAACAGCAGCCGAACATGAGCCAAGAGTGTGCCCAGGTGGCCAAGAAGGCCAATGACATCCTGGTTTGGATCAGAAATAGCGTGGCCAGTAGGATCAGGGCAGTGATTGTCCCCCTGTACTCAGCACTATTGAGACACCTTAAGTGCTGCATCCAGTTTTGGGCCCCTCATGATAAGGATATTGAGGGCTGGAGCAAGTCCAGAGAAGGGCAGTGGAGCTGGTGAAGAATCTGGAGCACAGGTCCTATGAGAAGGGGCTGAGAGAACTGGAGTTGTTTAGTCTGGAGAAAAGGAGGCTCAGGGGAAACCTTATGGCTCCCTAAAGCTACCTGAAAGGAGGTTGTAGGGAGGTGAGAGTTGGTCTCTTCTGCCAAATAACAAGTGATAGGATGAGAAGAAACAGCTTCAAATTGTACCAGGGGAAGTTTAGGTCAGGTAGTAGGAAAAATTTCTTCACCAAAAGGGTTGTCGGGCAGTGGAACAGGCTGCTCAGGGCAGTGCTTGAGTCACTGTCCCTGGAGGTATATAAAAGACAAAGAAGCTCAGAGTGGAATCCTAGCATGATCCATTGTGTGCTCATATTGGTTTTAGGTGATCAATACTAAAATTACATGTTCAGAAAACAGTTTTAACTGTGAATTTACTGAAGCACAATCCAAACCTTCCATCTGAATTCCCACAGCTCCCCCATGCCAAACAACACATATCTGCATGATGAGGCATATTAATTCAACCAACATCGAACAGTTTTTCCTTGGATTAATTTTAGCAGTGAATCAATTTCCTGATCTGGTTCAGCAGGCAGACACAGAAATGTCTGTGTTAATGGAAGTGAGCAGCTCAGGAGATGAAAATGCTTTTGATTGACCTCTACCCACTTAAAGCATGTGAAACTACCTCAGGGATCTTACACACAGGCTGTCAGAACATATGGCCATTGACCACCAGTCTGGTCCCCCCCTTTCTGGGGTATTTTCTTACAGTATCCATTGTTTTACATCAGAAATATTTATTAAAGTATGCATTCACATTATGGTCAAAGTTTATATGCTGTAAGATATGATTTACTGTAAAACCCTGAAGACTTACATTACATACCCACAGTAGTCTATTTTAAAAAGTTATTTTTCTAAAGGTGGCATTTTGTAAATTTTTAATTACAGCACTGATGCAGTGTAACATTCACAAATATTTTTGCTAGAAGTATTGGCTATTATCTCAGCAAACGCCATTAATTACTGTTTTAATTTACTAATAACACAACACTTACACAATTCAGTGACCCCTTTAGCACCAATAATATCATCATTGTATGCAACAGTGAGATCCACTACTATATCATTAATATTTATTTCATCTTGCAAAGGAATTATTACAGTTGATACGACAAAGCTCTTTTTGCTCCAGCTGAAAAAGTCTGTGAATAAATCATGTCATGTTTAGATATGAAAAACAGGTCAATGGCTACTGAGATGATGTTTCCAAAAGCAGAACCTTCCCTACAGCAAAGCTTTAGGAAAATACACTTCATCTGACAGCATACATTCTTTTTATCAGAATCCTCTTAGTAGGCAGTGGATAAAAAAAATCATTTAACTGTATAAAAGGGCAGAGAGAACATTCTGAGGAATGAAACTTCTTTTAAATTACAAATACATGGCATAACACTTTAAGACTTCACTTGAACCAACATACTTCCAAGTGGAGGCCAGAAAAATCACCCTCAGGTGAGTAGTTTTGAGTGCCTCAGAGAAACTGTTGAGAACAGCATCTTTTTTTGAAAGAAATGAACCAGGAGAAAGTAGTGCTTACTTGTAGTAATGTTGTTCTCCTTACAGCAGTTACCAGTTTCCTCTTCTACCAAGATTAAGTGGCTTGCATCTGCAATAAAGCATCTGCTTTATTGCTTGGCAACTAAAATCTTTACCAGTTATAGGTTAGAGGAATTCTTCTCCGAGGAAGACACATTCCTTTTAATAAAAAAAATATATTTATGAAGATCCTACTGCATTAGTAATTTATAGGAAATCCTATCTTAAATCTTTACTAAAAATATTGAATAATCACACTGAAGAGAGGATTATTCAAAATGGATTGCATATATACTTACAAATCATACTTGTCCCTTCATCGATTTCATATTACATATGGATTGCTACTGCCCCAGACAGGCAACTGCTGCAAAATGAGGCATTTTTGTCTTTATATACTAATATGGTTGGTGGAGACATCATTCTGTGACCAGAGTTCAGGAGAGCAGACTGAATCACATGTTATTTAGCAGCCATGGTTCTGTGGTAAAAATGTGACAGTCATCATTACCCATTCCATTTGATGTAAACGAGAAAGAGTTTTTAACAGTTTTCTTAGTTTTATTTTGGTGGAGAAATATTTTATATTTTCTTGGAATAAAGGGTAAAGGAAATCTACGTAGTGATTATAACTTAAGACCAATATTGACTTTTATTGACATAGTTTAACAAACAGACTCAAGCAATTATTACATCATTCAGATTCTGAACATCACTATAAACATGTTTATACCAGGCCTAGCTACTGTTGCATTCTTCACAGAGCTGTGATTAACGTTCTACATTTTTCTTTTTCCAACGAAGCCACCTCAGAGCTCTTGCCAGTGCTACTTGTCCCATGAGGAATGTGATCGTAAAATTACGTTTATACCAATCTCTAGGATTCCAAAGCCAAGAAAATAATCAGCACACAGAACAAGAACAGGAAAAGGGTACACAATTATATTAAAATATCCTTTGGCATTGACAAATGACAATTCAGTGATAACCTGCATTTTGTGTTCTTTGTGGTAACACTTTTCCTGCCTAATAGGAGTTAAATAACCTATGAAAAAGTCTACGTGTATATCCACATCCATGAATGGACTACAGGGTTCTAACTGTATTTGAAATCAGGTAAGATAAAGTAGTTAACACCATATCTCATGTTTCAAAAGTAAAGCTGATCACCAAACTATCTAGCATAACTTCCTGACAGTGCTGTGCAATGGCTAAGATTTGTTTGTAAGTGGATGTGTCGAAAAGGGCATAGTTGGCCACCTGTGAGGGCAGGGAAAAATAAAATCAAATCACACTTCAAATATTATTGTATAACCCAATACAGGAAACATTATCTTTCTACTGCAGTATCCTTTAAAGACGATGCCTTTAATATTGCCGGAGTTAGTCTTTACATCTTTAAATAATTTAATTTTTATGAAGTGTGCATGGCTTCTGGAACCAGTTCAAGTAATACCCAGAATAGTCTGTATCAGCCCTTTTTGACCTCTGAGAACTTGCTTCAAATTCTTGCCCTTTTTACAAAGTAAAATAATATCAAAATTTCTTTCTAATTTCTAACAAGAACCCTGCCCCCATTTTGTAAAGTGCTGCACAAGCAGCAATAGAATACACAGAATCATAGAACAAGCAAGGAACATAAACACCAGGATTTAGGTCTTCTCTTGAGATCTTTGTGGGAAATCTTGCATGTACAGATCTAACATAAGCCCGAGACACTAACCTCTCAGTAAGGACAGTAGCCAAATTCACACTGACAAGCAACACTGAGCTACCCCTTCAGATGTCATGTTAAATCAAAATATCATGCTAACATTGCAACTGTTTCTCTTCCCCTTTCATGTTTAATTTCCTATATCCTTCTTGAATTTTTTTCCTAAACTAGACTGTATTTCCAGTCTAGGTACCCTGAACTAAATATTCAAGGCATCTATGCACAGTTATTACTTCCATTTTATCTAAATTTTAGAAGTTGCAACACTTCAGCTGCCACAGTTTTCAGGCCAGCTGGCAATACTGCAAAAGAACATACAGCTAAATGCATAAACAGATTTTTATAACATGACCCCTCAAAATTAGAGTGCCAGTAAAAAGCTCTGCTGCTTTCAGGGCTGTGCAGTTCCACTTTGAAACTACAGTGATGCAGCTGACACTACCTGATTTTACAAGGCAGCAACAAGGAAGATCACATTTAAGCACAAAACCTGAATTCTCTCACCACGAGGATGGGACACTATCACAGGGTCACTCCAACAATGGCAAATGGTGACTAGTACCAAGATAAACTACTTGCATTCCCATTTATCAGTTATAGGCAATTTGAACAACAATCCTTCCACTAAAAGCAATTTCTTACTTTCCATCTGTAGCTTCAGTTTATAGTGAGGTTGCCACCCTGTCCCCCATGGGCAAGACAGATGTCTGTATTTGTTTTAAATATTTTTTACAGTTAAATTGTTCTTACAGGAAGAACCTTAAACCACAATTTGTTAGAGATCAGTTACAGTGACAGCAGAACTCTCACTAGCATTGCACCACTAGGAACCCAGTAACATTCGATACTTTTGAGCCCAATAACCTTTCAATCCAATACAGAGAGGAAACTGAAGTTGTGGTTTCATATTCAGTGGGCAGCACTACTGTGACTGGATTAAGTGCTGTCCTCCTCCAGCTTCCCATTCCTTCCTCATTTCTAGCCCTTTGTCAAGTGTTCACAGCTACTTGCAGGGTTATGTGTGTTCACAAGTAATTTTTCAGTCCTTTCAGATCCCCAACCCAGTTTATCAAGTTATTGTACAAACAGTAACATTGAAACGATGAAACAAAGATCTTGTGAAAAGGTGGATGTGGGTTTACTAAATTATAGCTGAGGTTCTACACAGCATGAGTTCAGGCAATCAATTTACTAATGCCCTGCCACACAAAAAAACCCTCAAACTCAAGGCTAATCACTTTCATTTTTACTATATGCTTGCAAAATGATAGAACCAAGAATATTAAATATTACTTCAATGAAACAATTTTCTTTCGAGACCAATCACATTTATTAGTCCTCATTCAACAGACAACTAGAATCTGTTATACAGAAATTTCAACCAGTTTATTTGCATATTTATCAGTTTCAATTAGCAGCATGGAAAGACCCATGCCCTAAGATAAAAAAATTGAGTGCCTGATCTTGTCTCTTTAAATATCAGACACAAGCTTCATCTGTCCACTAAATAAACAATAAGCAGTGGCAGAACTCAAACAATAATGCAAATTTCTGTCAAATACTCATAATAGCATAAAAAATGTCTAAAATTATAGTTTTAGGTGCTGTTTCACCAATTATGGGGAAAAATGTTCAAATTTTAAACTTGACCTTATCTTTCTCTTAGTCTGTAATGTATAATGGTCAACATAAATACCTTCTACATACCTGTTATACTGCATATGTTTTCTAAAATTTTTACTTAGAAAGTCCTTGTAAAAGTCAGCCATTTCTTCTGCATTCAGTGTTGCTTTTTGACCTAAAAATAAGTGTTTGTTTAACAAAGTCAAGATAATTCTTTGGATTAAAACCCTGGGTTCAGATGCAGGAGAGTGAGGTCTGACTCCTTGCTCCTACAAGCTTCCTGTGTAACTCTGAATTTTATCTTCCAACTTTTCAAAACTTAGCTAGGGAACACAGCAGATTAAAAATACTGATAATTTTGAAGTTGACATAGTTCCTAAGCCCCTATTATTTATGGAAGTGATTAAGTTTATCAGCCCTTAGATGATTTAGGGAACTAGTGAACCCCTATGAAAAAGCCCTTTTATCCTTTGAATAAAACTAATTTCTCCCAGGGCTGTAAGTCTAAACAATACCAGTAAGAGCACTTAGTTATTTAAATTTCCCCCCTTAAAGCAAATATTGAAAGAACACTATCCATAACTGACATGGTATTTTCAGATGTATGTTTTTTTCTGTTACTGTTGATAAATTTCAAGTAACTTATACCAAAAAGTGTATGTTCTGAGATGTCAGACTTACAAACAATCTAGTGATTCGTGAAGAAACAAATACAAAAGATGATTTTGAATGTGCCATTCATCAGCAGAATATAAAAAGAGGGACAGGAAAACCTGTGGATACAACACAGATGTGTAATCCTGAGAACCAACAAATATTCTCAACTCTACCAGACAATTCCCATACAAACCTTCTGGAACAAAATGTCCCTACAATGAGAGTCAAATGTGAATGTCCCAGAGAACATGAATATGGTGAGGGAGATGGAATTGTGATATTCAACTTGTTACTGTTTCAAAACGCATTTTAAGGCTCCTGAGACTGATCACAGAAGTGTAAATTATTGATTGGTTCTATTTGTCATTATTTACAAAACGAATATGTTACAATGGATTAACATACTATGGGATAAATTTGCTTTAAAACTATTTGAAGGTTGCCTTAGTAAAACCTATAATATGTTACTTAATATTGGTATCAGCAGAATTGATTAATTATGTAGAACAGTAAATTTTGTTTCAACTGTTCATGTATATGGTTATTGTCTATTTTTATATACACTCACAGCTGTGTAATAGATGCATGAAGTCAATATAATTATATTTTTAAGGAAGGTACATGCTCACTCTTTTTTATCTCTAGGGTATAAAAACAAATCAAACACAAAATAGCAATATAAAAGAAGTGTTTTCAAAACAACACAGAACTTAATTAAAATTACTTCTCAACCATACACTGATCACCAGGATACAAACAGAAAAAAAATAATGGTCTGTGACACACAGAACGTCAGAGCAGTTGCTTTACTAAACTCAAACAGATCATTATTCTATGAACAAAATGTTCAACCTCATACTACAATGGCCAATTCACTGTTATTATGAAGGCATTTTGTTTTCAGTTTCACATAATGAATTAGAGAGGCAACTATTTTACAGCAACTGTGCTCAGGCAAAGACAGGCAGATAGCAGCTGCCATCTCCCCAGAAGCTGTCTTATTTCCCCTGAAGGAAAAATATTGTGTTCATTGTATACACTACGGACCTGAAGGCAAAGATTGTGAATTTATCCACCCAACCGTAACATGCACTTGAGGCAAACACTCTGTATGTTTGCCTCAGCCAGCTCACTGGGTTAGGAGGTGTGAAAGTAAAAAGCCCCTTTCTCCACAGGCTATAAAACTATTATATTACTGGGCTAAGATTTCAGCACATCCCCTCCTGCTGTGGGAAAGGAATTAGGGGAAGAAGAGTGCAACAGATGATCTGACCCCCACATGCACATCTCTGAAGAGCTCCTCCCTTCTTTTTTTATCATGCTCCTGAAAACACTTCTAAATCCTACCTGTAAGATTTACTTTTGACAGAAGACAAAGAGCAGAAACTAACAAAATTCAAAGTTAAGTGGAATTCAGAATGCATCCTAAACTTTAAACAAAGATCTCACTAACCTGTTTCATCTCTCATTTCCAGACCCTTGGCTTTCAGTCTTGAATAAATAAATTCTTCTTTTTCCTAAAACATGTTTTTCCACATTAGAATCTGATGTAGTCAGTCCTTGAAGTTAACCATTGTTTTTAATTACATAGCAATGTGGTGTTTAACACCCTCTGAAATAACTAGCAACAACTCATTATACTTGGAAGTGTCAACTAAACATTTTCCTCAATCCAGTGAGTTAGTTAAACCTGTAACTTTGTTACTTAGATCCTGCTCTCTGCAGGCCTCAATTAATTCATGCAAGCGTTCTACTGATACTTACAAAACTTACTTGTGGAATAATGCTACAGCTGAGCTTCAGAATTGTTTGACAGGATCCAAACTTTCAATTTATAAGACAAACTATGGAGATGTGCTGTACTGTGTAACTGAGGTTTTGAGCACAGAGAAAAACATACCGCCTAAAAAAAATTAACATTACTTAGATGGCAACACAATAATTGTGTGTTTTTCAAACTTAAAAAGCATTTCCGTGGAATTAAAAAAAAAACAAACAAAAACAAAAAACCAAGCTTCATTTCTGTCTGGGATCTTGGCAAGTTTTGGGAGCATATGATGTTCAAAGTTCATCACAAATGATGGGGAATTACTGAATTGTTACCATGCTTCAAAAAAACCCCAGAGTATTGGTCAGGAGATACTGAAATCAGGAAAGAAGACAGGGCATAACTGAAAATTCCTCACTTTAGCACTGTTGGGGTGAAATGGTGCATGTCCCTTTTTACTTGTGGTAATTACACCTAATTTCTCTCACTTAGGACAGAAGAAGACAAGCTACAGAGTCATTTTCAACGGCTGCTCTAGTCACAGACAGGTCTTGCATGTCAGGCAGCTACAACTTTATACTTTCAGCACAAGACAGGATAAAAGGCAAATATTCTCTAATACTAAACAGCAATAAAACATGTGGGATTTTTTTAAAGAGATGAATGACAAAAAAATATAATTTCTGCAAAGACACTATGTTTTAAAAGAAACTGTAGCAGTTACCAGCCACTGAGGGCGGGCAGAACCTCAGGGAGCCCACACCTCCCAGTTTCAGGTGTGGCGGGAACCGGCGCCCGCTGAGCGCCCAAAAGCGGGTGGTTTGTGGCAGCGGGTGTTTGTGGGCAAGCGGGTGGTTGTGGCAAGCGGGTGGTTGTGGGCAGCGGGTGTGTGGCAGCGGGGTGTTTGTGGCAACGGGGTGTGGTGCCGGGCTCACCTGTCGGAAGGACGGCAACCACAAAGTAGGTGCCCCCCGTGCCCAGAAGCACGCCTTGGTTAGCAGGCTGGGCCCCCTCCTGCCGTCGCTCCGCAGCCGCCGCTCCAGGGGCGACTCCTCGGGGGGCACGTAGAAGATGACGGGGCGCAGGTTGGAATGCTTGTCCGGGGGCCCGATCCAGTCGTTGTGGGAGTGCGCGGGGGGGCTGAAACCCAGGCCCTGGGAAATACAGACGGAATTCTGTTATGAGCACTTCGGCTCGTGTCTTGATTTGAAATAAATCCCAAAACTCCACGCGACCTTAAAACATACAAGCATAATACAAGTTCCAAAATTATGCATGTTCGTTTACTGTAACCAAGAACAATGAGATACATTTACAATTTACTTTTACTTAAAAATGCACTACAGAGAAGATACTTTTGACTCTGTTACCATAGACATGAATCACACCATGTTTTTTTAAAAGCACATTTTTTTTGTTTTCATTTTTCTATCACTAACACTCCACTTCGTTAAAATACGTGATGGCAAGAACTAGCACGTATGCAAGCTTTTTATGGCACTGATCTCTGTGGTCTGGTGACCAGTGACAGCACTTGAGGGAATGGCATGATGTGGTGCCAGGGGAGGTTTAGGCTGGATATTAGGAAAAGGCTCTTCACCCAGAGGGTAGCTGGGCACTGGAACAGACTCCCAAGGGAAGTGGTCACAGCCCCAAGGCTGACAGAGCTCAAGGAGCTTTCGAACAACTCTCTTAGGCACATGGAGTGATTCTTGGAGCTGTCCTGTGCAGGGCCGCGAGTCAGACCTACATGATCCTTATGGGTTCGTTCCAACTCAGGTCGTTCCACGATTCCCTAAGTCTTCACCAATAGCGGCCGTTTGTTCTCTGGCATCCATGTGACCAACACACCAGCCTGTGTACCTGCCCCGCGCGGGTTCTCTGGGCAGAGCGTTTGTCACCTCAATCCCGCCCCGTACTCACGCCCGCCCGGGCCAAACAAAACCCGGGGGCCTCGCAAAACACCCCGCGGCGAGAGGCCCGCGGGGAACGCGGGTTTCCTTGCGGGGAACGCGGTCCATTCCGGGACGCCCCCGCCCACAGCGCTCACCCGGCCCGGGGCTCCGCGGGCGTCCGGCCCCCGAGCCCTTCCCCGCGCCCCGCAGGAGCTGCCCGCCCCCGTCCGGGTTTACCCGCGCTGTCCGGCCGCTCCCCATCCCGCGCTCAGCACCGCTGCGGGCCGCCGCCGTGCGTGTATGCAGGAGAAGGAGGAGGGAGGCAGGGAGGAGATGGAGAAGGCAAGGAGGATAGGAGGAGGAGGCGGATGAGGAAGCGGCGGTGTTGCGGCGGCAGGAGGCGCCCCGCACCTGCACACCAACATCTCACATACATTACCATCACACATACGCAGCCTACGCGGACAGTGCCCCGTCATGAGCGCAAGGGCGCTTTACAACGGCGGGTGCCGCACGGGCGCTGGCCGGGAGGGGGCGGGCCGGGACGGGCCGTCGCGCCGCCTCCCCTCCCTCCCGCGCGGCCGGCGGGCGGGGGCCTCCGGCGGTTCGGCGGCGCTCGGCCCGGTGGCAGAGCCGGGCCCCGGGAAGCGGGGTCCTTGGGCCGGGCGGCCGGAGGGTGAGTTGAGGCGGCGGGGCGGGGGCGCCGGCGGACGAGCCCTCCCGCAGGTGGCCGCTTCGCGGCAGCCCGTTGGTCATTTGCCCCGCCCGCCGGCCCCGCCGCGGGGAAGGCGGGAGGTGGCGGCCCGTGAGGGGCCCGCGGGCGGTGCTGAAGGGGAGCGAGGTGAGTGCGGGGAAGGCGGCGCTGCCCCGGGGTTGTGGCACAACCGCTGTTTTCCGCTCAGCCGCTCTCCTCCCCTTCCCCTCCGGGTTCTCCCTTGGGCTTCGGGTGTCCTGTTTGTTCTGCGGTGGCTTCAGCTGCAGAGCAGGTGGGGAAGGGAGGGCTGAAGGCTGTGGGTGAGCGCGGGGAGCTGGTGGTGTGGCAACTCAAGCATCACCCCTGCGGCCCGACCGCGAGAAAGGTGTAAAAAAATGAGAGAAAGGGCGGTGAAATATCAGCCAAGTGGTTTATGCCTATTGCTAGAGATTTTTAAAATAGCTTCAGTGCTGAAGTGCTTCAGGAAGTGAAAGTTGCGACCTGTGCTTGCATGGCACTTAAGCAAGTCTTGTTCTCCTTTGCCTTACAGTTCATCTGAAACTGGACGAGAGAAGAGGAATGGATATGGGTAACCAACACCCATCCATAAAACGGTTGCATGAAATACAGAAAGAAGTCAAAGAGATTGAACAGCAAGTGGCTGTCTTCAGTGGTCTGTCTACCGACCGAGATTACAAGAAATTGGAAAGGAGCCTTACTAAACAGCTCTTTGAAATAGATTCTGTAGACACGGAAGGGAAGGGGGATATCCAGCAAGCCAGAAAGCGAGCTGCCCAGGAAACAGAGAGGCTGCTGAAGGAACTGGAACAAAATGCAAACCATCCGCGCAGACTGGAAATAGAGTCGATATTCAAGGAGGCACAGTCTCTTGTGGAACGCGAGATCACGCCTTTTTACAAAGGAGGAAACTGTATTAGTGACGAATTTGAAGAAGGAATCCAGGACATTGTGTTGAGGCTTACCCAGGTGAAAACTGGAGGGAAAGTTTCTTTACGCAAAGCAAGGTATCGCACTCTGACAAAAGTGTGTGCTGTTCAGGAGATTATAGAAAATGGTATGAAGCAACAGCTGTCCCTGCCACTCTCTAATGATGCACATCCTTCTGTCGCCAAAATTAACTCTGTAATGTGTGATGTGAACAAAGCAAGAGGAACTCTTATTGCTCTTCTGATGGGAGTGAGCAGGAATGACACCTGCAGGCACCTGTCCTGTGTGCTTACAGGCCTCATTGCTGATTTAGACGCTTTGGATGTCTGCGGTCGCACAGAAATCAGAAATTACAGAAAGGAAGTAGTAGAAGAGATCAATAAATTGCAGAAATACCTGGACTTGGAAGAGGAAGCAAATTCTACTCACGCTTATGATTTGGCACAAAATCAGTCCATTCTAAAAATAGAAGAGATCCGCAAGAAGATGAAGGAAGTTAATTCTTTACTTTTAAAAACAGAGAATGCTTCTGATTTGTATTTGGGATCCAAAGCAGAATTGCAGGGATTGATTGCCCACCTAGATGAGGTGAGTGCTGGAAAAAATCCCTGTATTAGAGAGGCCAGGAGAAGAGCAGTAATTGAAGTTCAAACTCTTATAACATATATTGATTTGAAGGAAGCACTGGAGAAAAGGCAAATGTATCCAGAGCAAACTGCTGCTGAACATCAGTCTCATAAAGCAGTTTGGACTGTTCTTGGAAACTTGTCTCAAATTCAGCAAGAGGTGATTTCATTTGATGGAAACAGAACGGATAAAAACTACATGAGATTGGAAGAACTTCTTACAAAACAGCTTCTGGCCCTGGATGCTGTTGATCCACAAGGTGACGAGCGGTGTAAGGCTGCCAGGAAGCAGGCAGTAAAGCTTGCACAGAATATTCTTTACTACCTGGACATGAAAACAGATGAATGGGAATACTGAAACAGCCACGGCCTGACACAGAAGAACACTTTTTCCTCTGGCACTTTATGCAGATCATTGGCAGCACATAATAAAGTGGTGTGTTCTGTGCTTGCTGAAATCACGGAGATTGCATAAGCAGTTGACTTGGCTATATGTCTGCTATCCCACGCAGTCACCCACTTGCCATGGCAACTGTCGGTACACCATCAGCAATTCTGGTCACTGCTATAAGCAAAGAAGTGCAATTCTCTGAAGGAATAGCTTAATACTTGAACAAATGGCTTTTTTTCTTTCTTTTTTCCTCTCCTGTTTTTGTTTCAATAGCCTTGTGCAATGTTCAGTGAATGCAGATTTTTCAAAGACACAGAAACTTCCTTATGGTATAATACTGGCAAAATTATTTAAAGAGACTGGACGTGAAAATTAATATTCAAGCATGAGGCTCCATCCAGCAACTTCACAGCAGTCTGGATATACTCTTAATGTGCTGTTACAACAGAAAGTATTAAGGGCAAAAAGCCTGCTGGCTTCTGGATTGTACTTGATTTATTCCATCCATCACACTGTCTAGATTTCTCAGTTAATGGAGCTGTAATGCCAACTGCAAATGAGCATTTACATAGGCAAAGCCAATTATGTCAATTTTTTATAATACCTGAGCCCTTTGATTTGCAAAAACACATCTTTTGTTGGTGGAAACTCTTTCAAGTCATTGCTTTAAGGTACTGAGACTTGGAGAGGAAAATCTGTGCGTTTATACCAAACAGATAAAGGGGATTTCGAGGATTTCAAACTGCCATCCATAAACCCTTGAAAACTGCACTGAACTTTATTTAGTGGCTGCTTAGGTGTCTTTTAAAACTCTGCTGTTGCATCTTGTTTTCACATTTGGTGAAAACAAACAGAATTCACTTTGAAGTGAAACGAGCATTTTGGAATTATTTTTGTAAAATTAGGTAGCTAGCTATAAAGATGTCCTAATGATGTAAATGTGTGATACATGGTCAGGTGTGGCTTCAAGAATGTCTTGGAAAAGACTTGTGGCAAATGTCTCTCCTTGCAACTCATCACTTAATTGTTTTATTATATTCATAAATAAGCTTGCTTGTACAATTGTATGCACCTACCTTTTTGTTTGTGGCTGCTAGTGCCAATGACATTTCTACTATGGCATGTTTTTTGGCATTTTATGAGAGCATGGCATTAAAACGAATTAATTATAAAGATATATTCAATTATGGATAATTTGCACTCAGCTCTTTCATGATGAACTAGGGAATTACTGTTCTATAGATGATGATTTGCACCACTTTAAGGAGTAAAAACCATTTCAGATGTTAAATATTTTTAAGATCTATTTTTGACTGATTAGAGAAGACAGTACTGTCTGTGAGAGACAAGTGCCTTTATGACACTGCTAACTTGCACCGTCATATGTAGATATAGGAACTGTTTACTGGCAGCTTGTTACATTTGTAATCTTTGCAAACTGGATTTTTCACATATATATCTAATTCTACTATAGGATATGTCAAGTTAACATGGTAGAATAGGTGACAGTTGTCCTGTAGAGTCCCAAGAATGAGTATCAGATTTGGGAAATGTGGATTCTGCTTAAAAACTAAAGTATTGACGTGGAGGTGGGGGACTTTGGGCAGGTCTTCTATACCTATTGCTCCAAGAAGAATGTGTTCTGTAATATACTATGAGATGTTGATTGAAGGCTGCATACCTTCAGAGTGTGAATAGATTTTGTTTGTGATTGTACAGGTGTTTGCTTTGCAAATCTGCTTGCCAAAACTGATCTAATTGAGTGCACTGCCTAAGGCACAATTTGGCAATGACAGAATGTTTGTTGGAGGATCTCCCTGCTCCTTCAGAAACGCAACCCCATT